CTGATTGAAGAAGATCTTAAGAAATTTTGAGTTCCGCATCAAATAATGGTTACTGCTTTTTCCTCTCCATTTTCTCAAGAAGAAGCCGAAAGTCTTTTCCATTCTTATCGAACGTGCATATAATGTTTACGTTTTATAATGTTTTCTAAGAATAACATCAGAGTAATTACAATTTTGGGTAACATCCTCTAGCTCATTTTATTTTTGTTTGTTCATTTTTCGCATAATCCAAAAAGTTAATAAGTCGCTGAGACATTTTGTATTCTGTTTCGATTCTTTAGAATAAATATAGATTTCCCCCACACACCACACACACACATCACACACAAAGGTCACATTCGGTTATTTTAACTGTTTCAGGCGTAATGGTTTTACTGTTTCAGGCATTAAAGTGTGACTTTATTGGTTTACTAAAAGACGTCTGTGTTATTAGCTGCGCTTCGAATCTTGGAAATGTAAAAAGTATGATTAGGATATAAGATACAGTTTCGCAAAACTCGAAAATTAACTGCAATTATTTTTACTTTTTTGCACGTATCTTAAAGTAAAAAAGGTATTCGCTTCTTGTTATATAATTGAACACACTGTAAAGCATGTCCTAAACTTAAATTACTGATGTAGTTAATTTGCATCTATTGCACCGTACTGTGATTTTGTCCGGCTTATATATAAAAAAAGAAACAAGTATGGTACTGAAGTGGCTGTTCGCAGGTTACTGCCATCGCTCGCTAGCATCGCAAGAAGAAGACCGGCACTCCCTGTACCGGGAACAGGAAGCTCACCAAACTGTTTGGGCCGACAGCTCGCAGGCAAACGGCGTAACACTCATGGTGAGTACCGCACTACAATACAATTAGGACACGAAGGAAGCCAGTACGGACTTACAATAAATGCACGTAATGCGAACAATTATAATGAAGCAAGTTGAGTATTTACTAATTTTGCAATATTTCATTTTAATGAATCTTTCGCTTGGGTCTAGCAGTCTGGCAAAGAGTGCTTACTTCAGGCAGCTAAACGTCGTTTAGAGAAAATGCCGGAAAAAATTTAAATTAGGTAAATGTTCTTTTTTATAATAGAAGACGGTTCACTTTATGGTGCATATGACGTATTTATAAGTTTACGTTTTCTTAAACTGTTCGTTCCGAAAATTTGAACATTTTGTTAATAATATTGGATAAAACACGACAAGTTTTCCGGGCAGTCAGGGTCTTCCATGTACCATTGAAACACAAGGTCTCGGAGCCACGAATAAACGCTTCTCCATTTAACAGCACCGGAGGGTTTTATGACATTTTTTTATTCCTTTGTGAGATAAAGAACATTTATTTAAAATAAAATAGCGTCTATCATATTCAATTGAAAAGGTCCTTGCATGAATTGAAATTCACGATAAAATAAAAGAACTGCTACACACTGAACATTTGCTCGTTGATTAGGTTAGGTTACTTTGGTTGTCGTAAGCCAGTAACAATAAGCCAGTAGATAACCAAATAATGGTATTATTTGCTTTTAAGCGTTTCCCAAAGTATTTTTTAAGATTAATATGTTAAAATCAAATTTAAGTGACTGATTTACAACAGATATTAGGTGAGTCTTCGTCTACAAATTCCAGTATGGAAACCAGGCCAATAACAAAATTTAAAATTATTGTAAAGATGATTTTTTAAAGAAAAATATCCTTTGACCAAAGAGATGATACACAATCAGTGTTCTGAAAGTTAAAACTGTAGCAATTTGTTCCATTATGGATTCATGCCAAGCATAGAGTATGTCACCATCAGTACATGTGTTAAAGAAAATTATAAATGAAGATTTCCGTGTAAACATATCTTTTACTTGTATTGTTTGTTTTTAATTTAGTTGGTTTTACAAATGGTCAATAGAGTTGTATATCAAGATTTTCTTGATGTTTTCAAACGCTGAGACGTTTACTTTCCATTCTAATATTTTCATTTTTTTTTTCGAAAACGTTTTATTTTGTAAGATGCGGTGCAGACTTTTGTTATTGGAATAAAAAGACATTTGGCAAAGGGGAAACCATAAAAATCATGACTGGCTATATTTTCTAAAAATGGTGCATAATGTTAATATTAACTTCCTTATTATGGATTAATTTGGATTTTGCAACAAGTTTTTTCAAATCCACAGTTATTTTACAATTTGCATATGAGCTTGAAATTGATAATATTGTATCCTATAAAATGTGTAAGGCATGAAATATGTTTCAAACCTCATTATAAAAACATTAAGTTCCTTATACAAGTTCCTTACCAGACACCTTTCAATTTCAATTCATTATTTTATGAGATGAAAAATAATATTTCTGTTTTCGTAAAGCCCCCTTTTTTTTTTGTTAAACAAAACCCCTTCTTCGTCGTAATTTGGTACAAATGTTTACATTAATAAAGTGTGTATAGAAAAAGCTTGTTTTGCTACACATAATACACTTGCTCGAGTTATTTATTACTCATAATGAAAAATCTTGCTGACTAAACAAAAAATTATTGCAGGATGAGGGGATTGAATTTCAATGTTTTAGATTTCATGATAGATTTTTGTTATCAGTTACGCCACAAAGTTCTGGTTTTAGCGTATACTTATAACACCTAAACGCAACAAAAAGTTTTAACTTTTTCAATTTTTTTCAAATTTCCAGGTAATTTAAAGAAAGTGAACGTAAGCTGGTTTTAACATTATTGAGCTTTTCTTATAAGAGTAAAAATACTTTTTAAAATTGGAAGAGGAAGTAATTTTAAAATGTCACGAAATTACCATGAAACATTAGCACTATCCTTGCTTAGGTCAAGCATATGCATGATGTTGGTAAGTCTTTGTTCTGACGAAAGAAATTGGGGAACTGTCGACCACAATCACAGGTGGTTGGCCTGACAATCAGAGCAATGCTATATCGTGGTACTTTTGGGGCATCACGTAGGGTTTGTAATAATAAATCTAACAAATCATCTGTATTATAAGGGTCAAATATTATCACTTTTTGGCGACCGAAATGTGTAGTTCGCATGCGCAGCGTGTGTTCCAAAGGCAGCACTCATCTCGAGCAAATGACCAGCCGAACACTAGTGATGGAAAGTCTGCCTAACTAGCAGGGGCAAATGCGCATGTTTAACTTGGTTAACGTAATTTCCGTCCATATTTATTTGCAAAGGCGCTCTTGACCATTCTAATGAACGAGAATTTTGTAATATTTATTCTGAGACAACTGAATAATTAATGGAATGCATTATTTTTTGTAAATTGTGAGAATAATTATTAGGACAGTCTTTAGAAGCGTATTAAATTGAAGATGATGGCCACAGGCGTGCAGAACTATTTCTAATCATAAATAGTTTTGCTCTAAATGTTAATCGCCCCTCCCATGACTATGGCAGCGAACCTGGCGTAACATCCGCCATGACCACTGTGGTTCCTTCCCAGAAAAATTTAAAATGTCGCTTATATAATACATGCCTCAGTTAACAGAGAGGAGAATGTAAAGCTTTCACGGTAAATGTCAAACGTTGGCGTGAGGGTTTGCGACCTGGTTTGGCTGAGGTCTCCCGAGCCCATGGGCGGAGGTTGGGGAGCCATGAAACATAGGCATATGGATGAATGAGTGCCAGGTACATACAACAATTTCAAATGTGTGCACGAATCATCCGTCGCTTGGTCTAGCAAAGCACGAGACTGGGGGTAAACCGCACACTTTGTTTATACGTGTAAGTGTTTTTTTTTTTTTTTTTTTTTTTTTTTTTTTTTTTTTTTTTTTTTTTTTTTTTTTTTTTTTTTACTTGGGCAGGGGAAAATCTTAAAGACAAACAGGGGGCCCGCCCCCGCAAGCGTGTGGGATTCATAGCTAGCCTATGCCTACCATAAAACCCTCCTTTCTCTATTCCCCCTTCCGGGACCGGCGTAGGCATTGCATCGCGAGAAGGAGGATGGGCTTTTTTCCGACGTCAGCGAAATATTACGGGAGTCTTTCTTCGTAATGCTCCTCGGAGCGGAGCGTCTTCAGGACTTTGCAGAAAGGTGGTACGCATCCAATTCTGTGTCGCACATCCTAGTGACGCTGGTCCAGGGTCACTTCCCTCTTGGAGGAGTCTGTGAGTTCTTACTTTCCACTCGCGAAGTGGACAATGAAAGAACACGTGTTCTAATTCAAATACGGTAAACAACTGGCAATGAGGGCTATCGTCCAAACGGAATCTGAGCTGATATTCGATAACATCCTCCTGTCAGCATCTGATAGATAAAAATTACATTCTCCATGTTCCTTTGGATCCACGTCATGAGTGGGAATGAACGAAATTCCTGCCATTGATGAAATGCTCCATCGTCGTTGGCCATTGGTTATTGTCACCTCACCTCTCTTTTTCGTAATGGTATCCGTTTTGAGGCCTCCGGCTTGCCAAATAGAGTCTAGCTCTCTCTGGCAATGAAGGTGATCGGAGGCATATCTGCTAACAACGCACACAGCTATCATAGATAGGTGCGAAACGCTGAGCAACCGCAGGTCGGACTTTCTATGCACGACTTGCCCACGGGGCGTATGATGAATGCCCATGGATAGCAATAGGGGTGCGTAGAGAAGAATGGAATTTACTACGCTACGTCAGCAGCCTTCTTTCTTTGGCCCCAGGTCCCTAAATTAGGCCATAATGCGGCAATGCGGATGCCATACGAAGACGCTTTTCGGAGACATTGCGCAGGTGCTCGTCAAAGCGCAGTCTCGGTCAATATGCACTCCAATACCTCAGTGACACTGCGAGACACTGTTTTATACGTGTACGTGTGTGTTGTGTGTGTCGTGTGTGTGTGTGTGTGTGCGCGCTAGCGCGTGTGCGTGCGCGTAATTGGTTGTATACTGCGTGTTATTTTCTTTCCAAAAGCAGGGCTCCAAATGTGAATATACTATTTAATTATTCAGAATGTGTTAAAATAAAGGTTTTCGAATCTGTTTTAAATTTATCGTTCTATTTCATTAAAAGGGAAAAATGTAAATAATTATTGCCTAACTGTGTTTTTTAGATTTTATCGTGAGTTTAATGTGGATCTATCATTAGTAAATGAGAGAAAATTAAATATTTATTATTTTTGTTTGTCGGTAGAAAGAGTATTGATTCGACGTGGGAAGTTTCCCACTTCCCTGTTCTTTCCCCTTCCTAAGTAATAGTACCAATGAAAAAGGCAATTATAATAATTGTCCTAAGAAACTGAAATAACAAATAAACTAGGACAGAAAGCGCAAAAGATCCAGAGTAGATTTAATCTTCGATACTTTTCTTAATTCCCCTGAAAATAATGAAACTGCGGCTGTTGCTTGACTAATTGAAAAAATTGCAATTCAGCATTTATTTGAAGTAAATTGTCATTTTTCAACACAAAGAAGTAATAACGCACTACAATGCTTTCATATTACATTGTTCCATCTGTATCGTTCGTCGTTCTTATCAGTTAAGCGAAAAGAATCTGACAAGCGCATGATCAGTAGCTTTATATTGAATATTACATTAAACCAGTTCGGAATATGCTTGGTTTATTGCATCTCGTTAACGCGGCGAAATTTTTCCATATTTTGAATTAAGAAGTGTTTTCGTGATTTCTACAACAGGCTTGGACGAATGCTATTTCAGAGTCATCATAAGGGGGGCGAATTTTAACTGAAAATGAATTTTTTTTTTCTTTAGACAATGCCAGTTTAGTAATATTATAATTCATTTTACTGTTGTGAACACGAATGACTAATTTTTATAATTTTTATTTTTCTTTCTTCGTCGATTTGACTAAGACATTTTTTAATTTTATAAGTCATTTAAATGCATTTTTTCTATTTCAATCCGATGTTAATGTAATTTGAATGGACTTGTTTCAAATAATATTTAAAAACCGCAACAAATGTTATATAGAGTCAGAGTAACCTTTTCGATTTCTTAGCTCACCTATTGTAAAGTCAGCCGTTGTAAGTATATGTAATATAAGGTTTCTATCGGGCAGTGGTAGTTCGACCGATTGCGCGATAAATAAAGACAGTTCTTTTAAGATATCAAACAAAAGTTTGAAGGCTAAGTTCACCTTGAAACAAAGCGAAAGCTCGACTATATCACGTAACGTATGCAACAGCTTGAGTTGTTCATTATGAAGTGGTATTTGATTAAAATTTTTTACATATTTTTCTTGTTTTTAGAACATTTTTAAAACATTTTAAGAGAATTTTATTGACATTTTTGGCAATATATTTAGGTATCAAATTCCCACCCAGTAATCATATAACTCCTTACTCATATTAATAGAAGTTTGTCCATTCATCAGGTTAGATTCCTTCCGGCCATAATCGAGATAATAATTAAGGTGTCATTTGACGCGTCTCCGTCTCCTCGTGAAAAATTCGATGGACTGCACGCCAGTCGAAAAAAACACGTGACTAAGTCTCGAAAGTAGTGCATTTCCACGTGCGGGCGTAATTGTTAGAGAAGGTAAAATCTAGCACTTTAATTGTTTTAAATCGCGTTTTGAAAACAAGGCTATTACATTTGATAGCATTATAAAAATTGAGATTTAGAACTTTGTAGCATCTATTGGGTTAACTATTATGAAGGGAGGACTCTGAGATAAAAAAATATTTTAAAGTTTTTTAGATTTGCTAATTAATATCAGAAAATAAGAGAATCTAATTTTAAATTTCGCCATTTGTAAACATGACCACAGTCAAATTAAATGTTTTCATGAATGCGTTGTCTCTTTCGCATCCCTAGTTAGAGAGCAAACTCGAAGGAAATCATTCAATGTATTTCAGCAATCAAGTTTGCACTTTGTGCGTGATTTTGCATTTTGCGATCAATTTCGCATTTTATCGTAGATTGGAAACCTTCATAAACACACTGCATTGACAGTCAAACATACAATTACCAATTTTTTTTCAGCCTTTCGTAACATGTCGCATTTTTTTAGCAATAGCTAAAAACGTACCCTGTGCAGTAATTGTGTGTGGCGTGCGCAGATCGCGTGCATCTCGCCCGCGCGCTCCAACGCCAGCGAGACGGTGAACACGCTGCGCTACGCGGCGCGCGCCAAGCGCATCCGCACCAAGCCCGTCGTCGTCATGGTGAGTCATGGCTGCAGCGTGCTCCAGAAAAAACATCAAATTCGTCGAAAAAAATAGTCATTTGTTGGATAAAATTGAATCCAGTTAATTCCACACTTATAACAACTTCAATAATCATGTCTCCAAAGT